TACTCCTTATACTCAGTCTGCTAACGCACCGCAGCTCGAAGCGCACGCGACGGAAGCACACGCTGTAGAACCCAGTAACGAAGTCTGGCAGTTCAACGACGTAGCCATAGAGCGCCCGGTCGCAGATTTGGAGCGCGAGGATCTGGTAGCACAAAGCATTTCTCGGGGAACCTGGACGCCAGCGCAGAGCTTTTGCTGCGGCGAGGACCCGAAACATGGTTTTCAGAGCCGACGAGAAAAGAAGGTGTAGCCCGAGGAAAGCGAGAAGCACGAGCGGACATTCCATCGCTCGGGACAAGTGTGTTTCGGCGTCTCGCCGCAGCGAGTTGCCCGTTCATGCCCCTGGCAGAGCCGTTTATACTGGAGAGTTTGGCCTTCTTAAGACGATGTTGACAGCCTGGCAGCTACAGCAGCGTAGTCTGAAAACCTGGGGATGACAACTGCCGTCCGCTATTTCGGGGCTCTGACTCATAGAAACTCTATGCGATTATCAGGAATTAAGAATACGAAGAAGCAAAGCCATTTTGTGTTTTCGCGAAGTCCGCTGGTTCTAGCCGGCAACCTGCTCCGCCCATTGTCTAAACTCTCTCAGTATAAATGGCTCTGGCCCCTTGTCTGCGGCTCTACCTTTTCACTTTCGGTGGCCACGCCTCGTGGCGATCTGCCAGGCTTTGTCAGTGATAGAGGAGGCTATGGTCTGTCACTGTCGAGATCGGTAGACGTTCTTATACTCGTATCCCGAGTAAGCAGCGCTTGTGATGGGGCGCGCAGCAAGCGCATCGTATGTTACCGACTTATTATTTGTATCAGACTAAGCCGCTACAGGTTTAACGTTTCTGGTGTATTCTAAGCCTAGTTATACTACCTGGAACCGATTTCAAAGAGAATTCCGGAACAAATATTGTGTTCTCACCCAAATAAATAGTATATAATATATTTTTACTAATGTGCAATGGTCGATTGTTTCAACAGCCCTAGTAAAGTCTATGAATAAAACAAATAGGTATTTCCCGTTGTTCGTTTTATTAACATAGTACTAAAAATATAGACGATCACAAGTTCCTGTGTATTCTCTGAATCCATACTGCGCATATACAATATAAACCAACTCCACTCTCTGACGTCACACCATGGTTGGTGACACTACCGTCGGCTCTGCGCATTCGCAGAAGCTTCGCCACAGTCGAATCTGGTTTCTGCGCACGCGCAGTGCCCATACCTTGTGTGTGCACAGACGCGCCTCTACGCACACTTTGTTTTTCCTCGCAAACGTCAGCAATGCAAAAAAAAAAAAAAAATTCCAAAAGTATCAAGTTGTGACTGTAAAATAAGACAAACACTAAAGCGACAACAGAAAAAAAAAAAAAAAAACTGGCCGTTATCATTCTGGTAAACCGGGGGACCACATAATGTGTCGTGCGTGGTGTATTATTCGTGCGTCATGGAAGGCTACGCTTGGTTACTGAGAGCTTTGGGTGGTTCCAGAGGCGTTGCACAGACGACACTCCCTTGTTCTCACCGGGTTTATCAGAAGGACGAATACAAGTTTAAGTCTATTTGGGAGTGGAGTCTGTTAGGTGTATGCTTTAATGAAGCGTTTTCAGGGGTTCCTGAAATACTTCGAGTACATCTTACTCCGCAAAAGTCCCATGGCCTTGTTGCCGAAAAGCTTTTGCGTAGATGGAACGGCTAAAAGCACGCATTTTCGAGGACAGGGATGGGCAGTATTTCAAATACAAGTATTTGAAATACGTATTTCAAATGCTTTGTGTATTCTGCATTTGTATTTAATTACAAATTGGGTAATGTATTTGACGTGTGTATTTAAACAATAAAACGTGGGTATTTCAAATACAATTGTAATTAAATACAATTTTGTGAGCGAAAATACATCCCTCAAATTTATTGACACTGTCCAGAGCAGGAAGAAAACTACGTTCTGCACCGAATGCAGTGTCTCTCAATCAAGCACAAGCGTATAGTGACTTGGTTATTACGGTGCTAGACCAGGGCAAAAATAGGGACCAAATCGAGGTTCACAGGCAGACTGGCTAAATAAGTGCCCGTGACAACTTGTGATGCTTCCCAGCCTGATTTCCATCTATATTTTTGTCTGGAACATTCTAAATGCGCGGGTCGTCCAGAGTTTCGTAACTGGTGCGAGCTGTAACAATAACAAATTCTCTAGCTAGTGCTTCGCGTCTTGGTCGTCTTGGTTTTTTGTTGGTTTATATCAAAATATAATCGACAAAAAAAGCTGCTTGAAGCTCTGTACTTTTTTCACCTATTACGTCCAAGCTGATTACATTTTTTGTGATTTTATTTCTATTACGTTATTAGAGCCTCGCACACTGACTCCCGAGTGTGCGATGCAAAATAAAAATGGGATACCCAGAAACCCGTTGCAGGTGCCCTGAAGTCGCTGACGCAAATTTTGAGGGAATGTATTCGGAAAAGTATTTGGAGGAGACCAAATACATTTGGTTGTATTTGTATCTTGTACTTAAATGCTTTTTTGGAAATGTAATCAGATTTGTAATTAAATACATTTTTGACGAAGTATTTTGTATTTGTATTTTGATACATATTTGCATGTATTTTGCCCATCCCTGCTCGAGGGTTTTCCCTCTGGGTTGAGAGGTGCAGTTTCCGCCATCTACTGTCGTGTAAACTCGCTGAGACAGCGAAGACAGCCATCTGCTGTCTTTGCGAATTTGGTATATCGGTGCTTCGGCGACCAGCCTCTCCGTCGTCACGGAGCAAAAGCACAACGTCGAGAGTGCAATCGAACGTGCTCTCTCGATTGTAACTTTTTAACCCGCTCGAGGAGTATTTAGAGCTGAAGGTCCTGTGTATAACGCTGTTGAACGAAGTAGAATGAAGTCTCGTGGTAAATACTCGGGATATGCCCCCTTCGGGGGGGGGGGGGGGGGGGGGGGCACGTGGCACCTTGATTTCTTAAAGGGATACTGAACTGAAATTTCGAGCTCACAAAACAGTGCTGGAGCGATAGGCAGGATGTTGCAGAACGCAAAACCACCACTCATACAGCGATATCACTAACGGATGGCCATATTTTTGGAAAATAAATGTGCAACTGAACGTGGCCGACGAGACATGTGACGTCACGATTTTCATTCCCTCTCCTCCTCGCTTCGTCCCGTCAAGCTGGTGAACCGAAGCGAGGAGGGGAAAAGCAGCTTCCTTTCATTCTCAACTTTTCCAGGAAAATGGTGACGTCAGGGTCCTCGCTTGATCGCACCCTTCTTTTCTAAAAATACGGCCAGGCGTTTGGATATCGATGTATGAGTAAGGTTTTGGAGTTCGTAGCGTCCCGTTTAACGCTTGTGTGGCCTTATTTTGCAAAACCCAAATTTCCATTCTGTATTTTTATAAGTCGAGTCGAGTCGCTTTGCGTTCGTCGAGGTGTTAAGCGGGAGATACCGATGTAGTTTGCAAGAAACAACTGTCGCAAGTACTTCGGAAGCACTGTGCGGATGTTGGCTTTCGTAGCGGGACTGGCGTAAACCTAGCGTCCCACGCCAACTATTTAGCTCGATCTAAATTGGTTTGCTAATTTTCGTGTTTTGATGCTGAATTTATGCATCGAGTTCGTCTCGCATCAGGTTTGTTCAGGTATGTTTCCGTCATTTCGCTTCGGAACGCACTTACCTCTCCAATTTTGAGCAGTGCACCTGGCTTGCTGAAGGGAATATTTTTAGTTGGCGTTTTAATCGTTCGTCATGACGCTCACCCACTTTTCTCGCGGACGCGCTATGCAAGAAAAAAAAAAATAAAAACTGAAAAAAACTATATTTTTGTTTTAGTTCTTTCGGTCGCTTTTTAACGCACATCGACAGACGCTTGTATTAAACCGTGGTTTGTGCAGAATAGAACGCTAGAATGCCATTTCATGGTCGCGTCTGGCGATCGTTGCAGCCGGGTTTAGGCGGAGGATAAACAGCAGAGGAACACAAGCGACGGCGGTCGCAGACGCGCCGCTTTCGTAGTCTCATTTTGATGACGTCACGTGTGGAGCTAGGCTTTGTCAATCGAGAGCTAGCTGTGAGCGCCAACGGTCACCTGTTCACGCAGGCTCCCGTGCGTCATACTTGGCTCTGCTGTTCGTGCTTTGTTTCATCTCTCGTGACGTCGACAAAAGGCGTTGAGCTGCGGATCGCACGGTCGTGTGTTGGGTTTCCACTGAGCCACTTGGTATATATCGCGTTTTACAATTAATTAACCTTAATATGAATACGTAAGATTAATCATAATTAAAAATGCATTCTTTTCGATGCTTATGCATTACCCCTATAGTGTCCGTGTGCTTTATGTTGTCTTGTTCCAGATGTGCGAAACGGTTTTTCGTAACACTCGAGTGCGACACCTTTCGCCCGAAATACAGCCCGTAAACACATTCTGCGTTAAATATGATCATTGGCATAGCCATCTAGGAGCAGTTTCATGAAGAAAGTCTCAGTTTTCTTTCGTATATTTCGGGATGAAAACCATAACAGGCATATCTTTGCTATGGGTCTCTTACAAATCTGTAATCCTTCGCCCCGCTATAATTTGTTTCCTATCACACGATATATTGTTAAATGTGGTAGCAGTCCTGTAAGCAACTCCCCTAAAATATTCCGGTCGTCACATTGAAACACATGCGAATGAGCGGGAGAGTGAGGTACGCGTGCCGTTGTCATCTCCTTAAAGAATGCATGCGCGGGTGGGGCGAGAGGCGCTCACTGAATGTGTCGCAACCTTCACAATGCTGCACAAGTGCAAGAAGCGAACTGAAGAAAACTTAGATGAACAGAAAAGGCAACGTAGTATGACCGAGCCCGACATTTGATATGCTTATTCACCCTCTATGTGGTTCGGCGCAATTTAATCCACGGCACGTAACCGTCAGAAAAGACAAGCAATTCCGACGTAATCTGCAGCAGAGTACTACGGATCCACAGCCCTTATTTTGGACTAACATGTTTTCGAGCACTTACCCAAGATAAAGCTCGCCACCGACACAGTGATTACGGCGCTACTCAGGACGAGAATCCCATGCCTCAGCGAAATGTCTTCGGAAAAAACAACCAGGGAAGTGACGATAGCATACAGCGAGGCCATGGCACCCACCACCAAGGACTGGCACTACGAAGCAGGTCGGGGGAAAAAACGATTTAAAACTGCTCGGAGGAACCCAGAAACAAAGATATACTGAACACTTAAACTGAACCAAAGAATTTAGTACCCGTAATAAGTGGCGCACGTTCTTTCCACGAGCCAGCAGCAGCCGGTGTGCGCGAGCACACGCAGCGAAAATGACGTCAAAGACCTCCATTCGCCCTTAAGAGGACAGTGAAATGCATGGCCTTCGGGCCAAAGGAGAATAAAGCCAGGCTTTTCATCTCTACAAGTGAAAGCTACGTGCTTGTTAGACAAATTAATTGCTTACCTTTTACGCCATACACTACTGTGTAGATGAAAAACTTGTCTTTATTCTCCTTTGGCCCGAAGCCCATACATTTCACTGTCATCTCAACCGCGAATGGAGGCCTTTGACGTCATTTTTGTTGCGTGTGCTCGCGCACACCGGCGGCTGCTGGCTCGTGGAAAGAACGTGCGCCACTTATTATGGACACTAAATTCCTTGGTTCAGTATCCTTTTAAACCAGTGGTTCTCAACCATTGATGTTTCGCGGACCCCTTGTGGATTGGCGCAGATGTTGGAGGACCCGGTTCATGACGGAAGGAAGGAAAAGGTATAGGTTAATTATGATAATGATTTAATATTTGGATATAACTAAGGGCTAGTGTGAAGTAGACTTCTCTCATTGACACTCACACGAGAGATCTTTCCCGAAAATTGGAATGTTTCTTCTCAATCTGAAAAAAGGCAATTTTTATTACCGGGCTTGACTGATGAGGCAGGGCCTCGCGGACCCCTACAATGCCTTCTCGGACCCCAAAGGGTCCGCGGAACCCCATTTGAGAACCACTGAATTAAACAACAAAAGCTACTTAATAATAAGGACTGTAGAAGTTACACTGAACAGCCACATAGACGCAATCACGCATAAAACGAAAAAAAAAACGCGAGGGTTGAAATTTAGTTTTTTTTTTTTTGTTTCAACTGGCCGTCATTTCACCTGGTATGCCATGGTACCAATGGTTGTTTGGCTTGCGGCTTACCCTGGGGAGACAACATCCTTCTTAAATCGTATGGTCATCGGCACAATTGCAAGAACTATATGTGTAAAGAAGAAGACACGCAAGGGACAAGCGAACTCCTCATCTCAAACGACATATCCCGTTGTCACCTGATGGTTTCATGCAAGGCCATACCTTGCATGAAACCACCTGTGAGCACAAACCTACGACTGAGATTACCGCATACATGTGCGGGACGGTACCTTCCTAAAGAAGCTGTTAGTGCACTAAATAAGAAAGCAAGGGATCATCCACGAGTGGGCTACTGAAAATTGGTACAATCAATAATTTCCCTTCTCTGCGTTTAAACAAGTGCCAGAACCGTTGTCGCCCAACACTTGTAGATGGCGGCTGGTTGCGATACCCCACTCATTTGTGCTGTGGCCGTATAGTTTTTGTGGGTATGTTACCTGAAGCAAGGCCATGTTACCGCAGGTGATGTTGAGGACTTCCATCAGAGAATCCATTTTTCCTAGGTGGGCCTAAAATTTTACGAAAAAAAAGGTCACATAAGGATAAGGCAGTGCTAGTCTTTTTTTTTTTCTAATTCTAGTTTGCGTTTTGATTTTGCACACCGGCAACATATCTGTAAATAAAAACTTTTTTGTCCCTAAGACCGAGAAAGTGTGAACTAGATAGAATCAACGCCTGGGAGTTGCAAACATTACGGAGAAAATGGACGGATTTCTCTATCTCAACACTTTTTTCAGTACTTCCTTGGCGTTCTTCTGGCTTGACAGTATGCGCCACTTATTCTAGTGCGGATACCTTGGTGACTGAAATAAACGCTAGACTTCACGCACCTGTGTTGATAGCCTCGAGGCCAGAGTCATCTCCAGGTTTCCTTTGAGACCCAGCAGTGCAGGCACCAGAACGAAGAGTTGGGAAACATCGATGAAGACTTGCCAGGACTGCAAAATCAGTTCACGTCGTCAGGATTTGGGCGACGTAGTTTAAGAAGGGGTAAGAAAGATGGCCTTGAGCAGAATAAAGCACACTCTGGATGCCATAGTTAATCATGCCGAGATCGAAGCATGTTCGAGGAATAGAATATACATACTCAGGTAAACAGATGGAATGATTGCGTGGGAGAAAAAAAAGTGCCAAAAAATCGCAGTTTACATGGTGTACTGCGATCGAAGGTGGCTAGACAATGTAGTCAAGCCCATTGATATTTTAAGGTGATGGGCACCACGTTTTTATAAACAGTTTTACTGTCAATTAGAGCATTATTGCCACAAAGATAAGCATCTAGTAGCAAATGATGAGGACATACTTACAGGATGAAACTGAACCTGCATAAAAAGTAGTATTAAGAATGATGATACCAGACCTCCCTTGATAAGGCATGACCTAATTTCCCTTCATGTTCTGTACGTTTTTTTCCCCGGAGCAGTATTTCCACTTGAGACTACAACACCCAATACTTGTACCAAACGAGAAGGAGAGGCACGACCAACATGTCCCCCCCCCCCCCCCCCCCCCCGTTGACAGCAATAGTTCCTATATTTATCGGTGTCACGTCATTATAGATGAGGGAGCATATGGTTGCCAGACTGTTATACAATAAATCTTTTTTTTTTGAGAAAGGAGAAAAAAAAACTGGTATACGTATCCACATAAAAAGTAACACTAAAACACTGCCCAGAAAATTGTAAAGAAAACACGTTAAAGATAACACGCACTACACACGCCGAAACAAAGCAAAAAAAAATTGAAACTTAGACGATCTATTCAAAGTTTTCGTCGTACGGCAGCCTAGTTTGCGGCCTGCGTTGTCTGGAAGATTTTATTGGGATGTCCTGTGAACTGGGTGTAGCACTAGAAGCTCCAGGTGCTGCATTTGTAGTTCTGGTGGTGTCGGGCTGGCAGAATATGTGTTGCGCTGGGTTCGAATCAAAAAAGTCATCAATTTCGCTATCCGTGGCGTCTGTATCTAGTTCAAAATTCTCTTGCGTCCGTAATGCAGTTGCTGCCTGTTCCTGCGAAATGTATGATTGTTCTCTGTTTAGACTCGAAAAGAACTCGGTGCAACCTTGCGAATTACCTTCGCTTTTTGCTCAGATGTTCCAGCATTCTTCATCCTTACAATGTCGCCAGGGTGAAGTTCACACAAAAGATATGCGCTGCTTAGCTGTTAATGTTTCTTTCTTACGTGTTTTTCCATACAAGTGAAGTTGGGCGACCTTTATCTTAAATTTCAGTTCGTAAGTATTTCGCTCGGTGAGCGATCATGCTCAAGAGGTGTTGATCTATATTTTAGGAGCAGAAGCCACTTGCCCTCACCAGCAGAACTGGCCTTCTTAAAATTCTGTTTTACAATTTGAACACCCTTTTTAGCTAGGGTGCCTTCATGTGCGCTTTGCTTGGGGTGATGACATCTGGCCATTTTGTTTCGAACGCTTATTTTTATTTTTTGTTCTGAAGCGCGTGAAAGAGCGTGTCCCTGCACGCGCTCGTGGCGCTGACTGTGCTACGGCGACATTTTGTTTCCTGCAATTTCTTTGTATTTTACCCGTGAGCGCGTGCTGTCGGCATCGGGTACTACAAACGATGGCATCACCCTAAACAGAAGGACATTGAGGCACCCTATTTTTAGCTAGACTGTTCAAGAGTGGGAATCTGTGTTTGGAGGCCATGTGTTCGAGGTAATTGAAAGACGCGAACGCTTTGAATTCGTGTGATGAGTTCTGCTGACCATTTTCAGAAGTAAGTACCAACGGCAGCCCGTGTATAGCAAATATAGCTTTGAGCTTCTCAATCAACGTTCTGGCTATACGGTTCTCTAATCTTTCGGCTTTCGGATAATTGGAGTATGCATCAAACGCAATTAAATACGACTTTCCCGCAAACTCAAATACATCAGTTCCCACACGGCTTCTTGGAAGTTCTGGGTTGTCTCGCATTCACTTGCTTGTGCGTAAGCTTAACGTCGGCAAGCTGAGTAGCTGCTTGTCGTCAAAATTATGTCTGCATTTAGCCCAGCCAAAAGATAAGTCTGCATTCTTTAGCTTTACTTTTTGTCATTCCTTGATCTCCGTCATGCAAACGTTCCAGCATTTCCGTACGCATGTTTTGTGTTACTACGACACTGTTTCCTTTTAACATAATTTCTTGTATTACCGTTGAATACGACTCTAATGACTTGAAAACTTTTTTGAAGGGCAAGTTCTTGGCAACTGCCAGAATTACCTGTAGCAATACCGTATCTTCTCCGGCTTTCTCGGTCAACCTCGTCAAGGTCGCAGCTGACACTGAGTCCCAAAGGACACTGGTTGCATGAATCGATGTCAGCAGTGGCGTCTTTCGACCCTTCATTGACGGGTGCTTTTGACAGCATGACTGCAGCTAACAGTTTCTTGTCTGGAACGTGCTGTATCGTGAAATCGTATTTTAGTAAAGAAATAAAAAAAAAAATATCTGGGGACGTGGTGGTATCTCGCCTATGGATTTCTTACAGAGAGATATGAGTGGCTGATGATCAGGGTCGAGTGTTACTTTCATACAATAGACAAACTGGTGGAATTTTTCTCAGCCAACGACCGACTAGAACCAATGCCTCTTTATCTTTCTGTGAGTAACCCGTTACAACTTCTGTAAAATGCCACGACGGCTACGCAACAGGGCGCCAGTTGTATTCTTCTTGCTGCAGAAGTACTGTAATGTAGAGTACTGGGGGTATGACTTTTCGCTATCCGGGTTAAAGGAATACTTCAACGAAATTCGAAATATTCCCGTCGTGTTCAAAAATAGGTTGAATATGATCCACAATATCCGTAAATGATAATCGCACGTTTGTATTTTGATCCTAGTGGCTGTATTTTTCGTTATAAACGGCCCACTCTGGCAAGCGCTCGGAGAAGGTCCAGCTTAGAGCACGTGACATCCAACGCAATCGTGACGTAGGTCGTCTCAAGACGAGCAAAGCTACGGCGAGACTGACGTCGAGAGGATGGCCTAGTCGTTCCAGCCACCGAAGCGGCTGCTTTTGTACGAATTTTGAGTGACGGGTTAATCTTCTATAATCTTCTAGGGGGACAATAGCGACTTCTGCGACACACAAAAGGGATTCTCGGGAAGAGGGGATTTCCTCCTTCCCCCCTTCTCTCGTCGTGGCCGGAGACGAGACAACCGCCGTCACTAGCTGTCAAGGTTCCTAGACGAGCATTACAAACGAGGCGTTAGCGACATTCACCAGGTGCTCTTTGCTAATCGTTTAATTCGTTTTAAAATTCCTTTTCGAGACTTTTTTAACAAGATATTGGTATGTTCGATGTGATACTGCTCTTTTGAACACATATAGACCAAAAAATGAGCGCCGAAATTTCGTTGTAGTATCCATTTAAAGTATCCATGCTTCTTCTGAAAGCAACGATTTCCTAAATCTCTGTGCAGATTTTAATCTTTCGCAATTAGTAACCGAGCCCACGAGAATTACGTCCTCAGCATCCAACGTTCTTGATCTTATTTTAACTACGTCTAAGGACCTCGTAGAGCCGATCTCTTATCTTCCAGGTCTTAGCGACCATTTAGCCTTGCATTTTTTCCTGAAAAGTCCTAAGAACAATCCTGCTGATTGCGTCAAACACATCCGTGATTACGCCAGAGCCGACTTTGAATCCATAAACCGCGAGCTATGTACATTCATGGGCTCTTATATGCAGAATTTTTCAGAACGATCGGTTGAAGGCAATTGGTGTCTGTTCAAAGATAAAATTACTTCATTGATCACCAACTACATTCCCTGTCGTGTTGTCAAATCAAACTCGAAATCACCTTGGTATAATACGACTTTAAAAGGCTGTCTAATAAGAAAAAGCGCTTGTTTCGAGCAGCTAAATCATCAATGTCTCCCGATTGCTGGGCCGCGTACCATTCGGCAGCTGAAGTATACAAATTGGCCGTCGATGAAACTAAATATAACTTCTTCAGCATAAAATTACCCTCAATGCTCACTAACAATCCAAAACAGTTTTGGAACTTAGTCAACCCTGCCGACAAACATTTAATACAACTTAAAAATTCAGGCGGAGAGGTGATTTCTGGTGAAGATTGCGCTATGACTTTCAACGAAAGTTTCATCAGTGTCTTTAGTGATTTCTTAGGTGCGAACCATCCCGTACTACCATCTTCTGATTTTTTGCCCATGTTACCAATTGTGTTTGATCCACTCGGTATTGTTAAAATTATTGAAAACCTCAAGCTGTCGTCGGCATCAGGTGTCGACGAGATAAACGCGAAATTTCTAAAAAATACCAAAATGTACTCCTCAATCATCTTGTCATCTTTGTTTCAACAATCACTTGATCATGGCGTCTTACCCGAGGACTGGAAGGTAGGGAAGGTTGTTCCAATTCACAAAGCTGGTGACCGTTTCTCCCCTTTCAATTACAGGCCAATATCTCTTACTAGCGTACCCTGCAAAATCATGGAGCACATAATTTCTTCACAGCTCTCGCGTTTCCTGGAGTGCAACTCCTTCTTTAGCCCTTTTCAACATGGATTCCGCAAATCTTTCTCGTGCGATACTCAGCTTTTAGTTTTCACCCACAACCTCCACTCGGCTCTGGACCGTGGATCTCAGACTGACTGCATCTTTCTGGACTTTGCAAAGGCTTTCGATATGGTAACACATAAACTACCACTATACAAGCTTAGCCTACTCAGTATTGATCCGTATATCTTATCTTGGTTAGAGTGTTTCCTCACTAACAGATCGCAATTTGTAACTGTCAATAACAAAAACTCGTCATCGTCCCTCGTTAAGTCCGGTGTACCACAGGGTTCTGTCCTAGGCCCCCTCTTATTCTTAGTATATATAAATGACCTACCTACTAGCATTTCCTCCTCCATAAGCGTATTTGCGGATGATTGCGTTGTTTACCGTGAAATTACTAATGACTCTGACGTA